CGCCATTTGACGTGAAAATTGACATGGGTTTCATGTCTAACCCCCAGTTACGAAGCAACTAGAAACATTAGAGTAGAAATTAATAAACTCTTTTGTGTGTTGGCTTTTTTTTCTTTTTTTTTCAAACGCATCACTTCATATCAAACAAAACCTAAAACCTTTGAAGTAAGGAAAATAAAAAACCTTCAAAATTGCTTAGCAAAGAAAAGCCTACACAACACACAACACACAAGTTAAAAATAGAATTTTAAGGGAAGAAATTATGATAGGATCATATAGTGGGCATCCAAAAAACCTCGGACCAGGACATGATCCTTGGCACCTTCAAACCACAAAAGCAAATTCAACTTTCCCCTTAATAATTGTAATCGTATCTTCCAAATTCCACTGGTGCTGAAGCTTCAGAGTTACTCGAAGAAACCATGGAGCCAGGAAGAAGAGAAAAGAAATAGGTCTAAAAGTGATGGATCAAAGAAGAAGATAGATTTTTTCTTTTACATCTCATATGACTTTCCTTTTTTTTTTTCAACTCGTAAGTCAGAGTCATAGTGGGGCCCACAATTAAATTGTTTGGCAGTATCTTTCCCATTAACGAGCAGTCCAAGTTGGACTACCAACATGTAAAAAAGACCTATGTGTCGTTGACCTATCCATGTTTGATGGAAATTAACAGTGTATGTGGCCCTCGACATTAAATATTGCTTCATTATCATAAACTCAAAATGATAAGGATATAAACTCACACATTGTAATGTGAGGGGTAAAGTCCCACATACTCGAAAAGTTGGAGGGCATTATGTGGGGTTTTGCTGATATATCTGGAGGTCTCAATGATGTGGGAAAGTTCTACTTGCTAGTGTTGAGTTATATCTCTTCTTGTCCTGTGTGGTGTGGTAATGACACATAAATACAGAATTTGATGTTGGAGATCAGGCGTGTGCCATATAGCTGAACCCACTTCAGTTCTACCATAAATGGGCTATGATCCATATCATGGGATTCATTGAACTCATCGTACATCTTTTTAGTATAGAGCTTTGATTGAAGACCCTATCTACGAAGAATTCTGGCAAAGGGATTTTGAAGAACCAGTCCGACAAGGAAATGCAAAGCCTCTGTGAAGCCGTGAAAGAAGCTGTGTTGCACGCCTCCAATTGGGGTTTCCGCATTGCTGACCTCAAACTGCAGAAGAAACAGCCAGGAAAAGCCATTCTCAATAAGATCAAGTTTTTGTTCCATGGATCTCGAGAAGAATATAGTTTCCTTAGTGCAACATATATACGGCAGGTCTGTAACCTACTTTTTCAATTTTTGACTCCTGTTACTTTATTATACATCCTGGAGGACTTAATTTATAAAGCACTTTATTTTTTTATTATTTTTTTGGTACATTTGATTATAAGTCATATAAAAAAAATAATTTTTTCTTATTCTTAAATTTTTTTCTCATCCAACTTA